TTTTTTTTTTTATTTTAAGTTCCGTAAAATTTCAATTATTCAATATGCACGTGGCCCCTAACCTAAATTTTTTAATTCAAATCTCTCGTATTATTGTTTAAATATTTACTCTATATTTAATCAAACAGAACGAAAGCTATTATATTACAAAATGATTAGCGTTTTATTCTTTTTCTATGATTCTGAGTTAAAAAACTGTGTGCCAGTATAAACTTTACGATAAAATAAATAATGTTTATACATCAGGAAGTTTTGGCAAATCTGGTTGTCGAGGAAGAGCCTGGTGGGGATGAAAGAGTCGGAGAAGATAGTCAGGACGAATCGACAACTGGTAGCACCTCTGCACCACGTTTAAATCCGGTTGCGCCTGACGAAGACACGCTCCCGAGTTCTCTCGACGGACACGAATCACCTACAGCCCCAGAATTATCGGCGTCTGCATTCAGCGTCGATTCAGATTGTTCCAGTAGTAGCGTAGACAGCCCTCTATTACCAAGGAGAGAACCAACTGGTACAAAAAGGAAAGCCGAGGTTCTAAGCAAAGAATCGGGAAAAATCGGTGTTACCATTACTACCAGCAGTCCAAGCAGTGGTAGCAGCGGAAGCCCGCCACCGAACAAGATTCCTCGGCTATTGCCTTTGAAAAGTAACCCAACATCTCCCTCGTATCACGTAAGTATTCATTTATTTCTAAATTAATATCGATTGTCGTTAATTTATATTTTATTGGAATTTCGAAGAAATTTGTAATATTAATAGAATAAATAAAAAAATAAGTTGATAAATATGTGTAAATTATAGAATAATAAAGATCTATAACTACGTTGTAGAGTCACAAGGTGAATGGTAGGAGGCCGTCATCATCGAGCGTGAAGTCAACACCGGAGGAACCGCTACCGGCAGTACCGACAACACCAGCTCCTGCAGTGCAAGAGAAAAAGCGTGCCGAAGCTGATGTGCCTCACGGTCCTCCACCCTCGCTGCCGCGTGCACCACCGGCACCTTTGTCTCCCCAGATAGACACGCCTCTGGAACAGCCTACCAAAAAGAGGCACTTGTCTGAACAAAAACAAGAGAAGTCGAACGGAGCAGTAACAGTGGATGCGAACGGTCACAAATCTCCTAGCCCTACAGATTCTTACACGAACAACAATAGGTTACCGACCATTGTCAATGGACATCATAGTCATAATAATAACAACAACCATACAAACAATAGTAACAACAGTAGTAGTAGTAACACATCGAGCGTGAAACAAACAGAAATCACGAAGACAGACATGTATGTCCCTCTCTCGAGTCCTGGTACGGATTACTGGCACGCGCGGAATCCAGTTGCCGATCAGGTGTTCATTACAGACGTGACGGTGAATTTGAAGACCGTTACTATCAGGGAGTGTAAGACTGAAAAAGGATTCTTCCGGGAGAGGGATCCGAAGAGCGATATCTATTAACGATGAATAAAAACGCTTTACTGTGAATTTCTAATACTGAACCATGCTTGTAAATATAAATTATTTTCACACGTTGAAGTGTAAAGTCGAAGATGATGAATATATACAAATAATATATATATATGTGTGTGTGTGTATGTATATATATATATATTATTTGACAATATCAAGCTATATATATATATATGTATATGTATATGTATATGTATGTAGAGAGAGAGACTTTTTCTATAAACGGACTTTTTTTTATGGTTGCGAAGAGAATGATCGAGGTTATATATAATTACGATGAAACTTAACTTGCAGTTTCCGGTTGTATATTCTGAAACTCCAAGAACTTCCGAAAACAAGACAAAAGTTACATGAATCTAAAATTCAATATTTATCAATAGATATCAATAGGATTCGATTGGAGGCAAAAAATCGAACGGTCAGTTCCAGCATGTCGAATACAAGACTATCGTATAGTAAGTGAAGAGAAAAGTTTGTGGGACTATTGTCATACGACAACCTCAGAGGCAAAAGAACAACGGTATGTTATGAGTCGCTGTCATGTCGTGATATACATACACTTGTACATTTAAAAAAAAAAAAAAAAAAAAAAAAAAAAAAACACTGATAGACAAACTTTCTGTATTAAAAACAAAACGAAAAAAAAAA